GTCGCAGTGGTGGCAGGCGGGACTCAGTTCCCTCCTAGCGACCGAGTGCAGGTACTCTCCGAAGCAACCGTGCCCGGAAAGCACCTGCGTCAGCCGGAAGGTAAGGGTCCCGTGCTGCCGCCCTGCCCACTCGGCGATGACCGGCTGGAGAGCCTCCACGGCGGCGAAGCCAGCGCGTGGAGTCTCCAGCCGGAACGACCAACGAGCCATCGTGGCTCGGCGAGCGGCTTCGCGCCACTCGCGCACATCCTCGGGCGGGGGGCGAAATCCGCTCTCCGGAGAGTCAGCCACTCGCCGATAAACTTCGTCGAGCACTTCCGCCTCCAAATCCCACGGGGGAGTTCCGGCCAACGCGCACGCCACCTCCGTCGACACGGTGCGGTAACCGCGTATGGCTCTGACCGCCATTACCCTCTGAGGGCGCCAGAGGCGTGCCCTATTCTGGGCGGTCAGAGCCGCTGCCCACACCGGTGCATCGTATAGTGCCATTGACCGGACAACCCCCGTGTACAGCCGTCTTGTCGCGACGCTGGGTCCACCCAAATTGGGCAAAAGTCGCCCTAGGGCAGACGCAGCGCCGACCAGCTTTGGAGCAAGCTGTCGGAAGTGCTCGTCGAAGAGCCACCTCCCGTCGAGGATCAGGCCCAGATATTTCATCTGGGCCCGAACCGGTACGAGGACCGAGTTGACTACGATTGAGGCGCCAGGGGGTGGACCACGACGGGGCCCATGAAATAACAGGGCCTCCGTCTTATCTAGGGCCACCCGTAAACCCAGCGCCTCAATGTGCCCGACCACCAGGGAGACTCCCCTTGTGGCCAGGCGCGCCGCCTCTTGGAAGTTTGCCCCCCGGGCTGTCACCAGGGTATCGTCTGCGTAACAGATTACACCCAGCCCGGGGGGGAAATCGGCGCGAAGGGCCCAGTCGTACCCTATATTCCACAAGAGGGGTCCAAGAACAGACCCCTGTGGAACACCGCACGACATGGGCCGACACCTCAAATTACCATCTCGGTCCTCGTACACGACGGTACGCTCCTCTAAATAGTCTACCACTAGCCGCCTCAGGTACTTTGGCACCCCATGATAGTGGAGTGCTAACCTAACCTAACCCAAAGAATTCAATAACGGTAGATGGAACCCGATGCAGGTATATTGCATAAGGTGAACGAGAAAACACAAAAACCAATTAATACACAATGATTGATAACAAAGTAGACGTTTTTAAATTACATTAAACGTTATTTATAGCTTTTGAATATATTTGCGGAACTGAATATTATACTAACTGAATCAGAATCTTAATTACAGCGGTATATTCGAAGGATTGAAAATCGGAATTTCGTTTTTCGGACTGAGTACCCATCGAGCATTTAATACATTTTTTTTGACTTTTGAAAATCGGAATATCGAAACTTGGAGTAAGTATTTGGATGTTCTAGAATTATTTAAATTAAAAACTCTGTTTTCCTCTCACCCCCTTTTTAATGTTTAAACGACATTATTATAGGAAATCTACGCATACTCTGCTATCCGCTGCGATGTCGTGTTTATAACTTTTAGGTTAAATTGCTTAGAGCGCCTAGTTTAAAACAAAGAGCACCAAGTAACGACAAATAATTTTATATTGCAATATTTACCAAAACGTGGGCATTTATTACTAACACAAGGGCTAATCTGGCAATTACATTCTCAATTTTTATAAAAATAACCTAAGTATTTATCTTAAAGAAAACTTGTCTTCTTACCAAACTATTAATATCATGAATATAATAACTATTAATGCTACAATTATGGTACGGGGATTTAATATTTAAAAAAAACCGGTCAGGTACGAGACGAACTCGTTCGCCGAGGGTTCCGTACCTACCCAGATTTTACGTAGATTTTCGCGAAAATTTGTAAGTACCAAAATTTTTCTTAATTTCCAACTTTTTTTATTTTTTGGAATTATTATTTTATTTGTGTTGTAAGACGTATCTTTTTGCCAAATTTCGTGTTTCTTAGTCAACGGGAACTACCATATAGGTTTTCGACTCAAAACCTATAGGGTACTTCCGGTTGACCTAGGGTTGTCAATTTTTGGCCAGCCGCGAGGGGGCGGCGTCCGCGTGTGCCGGACGTCGCCTAAAGAGAGGAAAATTTTGAGACGGGGCCCGCAACAGGAGCGGGCCGGCGCTAGGAGGGGTCCGGATGTCTTAATAACAACTGTTCCCGGATCCCTCCTACTACAGGCGCAGAGTGGCACACCGTGTGGTTTTAGTCGGTTCGAGTCCGACACACCACCCCGCCGCAAACCCCGGTGACGGACCGAGGGGATTTCCACACGTAAAAAAAAAAAAAAAGGGGTGTCAATTTTGGATAAAAGCAAGGTCTTGCAGCACAAGTAAAGAGAAAATTCTAAAAATTAGGAAAAGTTGAAAATTAAGGTAAATTTTGGTACTTACAAGTTTTCGCGAAAATCGAAATTTGCCCATATCTTTTTATCGTGTTGACTCAGGACCTTGATTTTTATACACCTTATAGGGACCATATACCTCAGTATCTGGTATAAATTTCAACCTGCTAGGTCTACTCGTTCCTGAGAAAATCGGTGGTGACACACGGACAGACGGACAAGAAAGTGATCTTATAAGTGTTCCTTTTTTACCTTTTGAGGTACGGAACCCTAAAAACGTATTACCAACTACAATGCGCCTGCATCGTGATGAATTATAATAAACTGTATTCTTCGTTCCTTAATTTTTACCCTTAAGGGCAGTATTCAAATCAGTTTAAATATGACAGAGTTCTGAGGTAACGAATTTACACAAACTAATAAACATCAGCATTCTCTATCGCTTGTATCGTTGAGGCGGAGAATGCTCCGAGGAATTGTTCAGACTTGTACTGGCGAGCGCAGCTTCCGCCATCCTAAAATAAATAAAATTGAAGTCTATTTGTAATGTCAAAATTATAGGTTTTTTCATGATCACGTGGTTATTTGCACGATACCTTTGAATAAAAACCAGTTTAAATATTGTGTCTGTTTGTTCCGAGTAATCTTCAAAACGGCTGGACCGATTTTGATAATATTTTAATAGCAGGTAGCTGTCTAAATAAGGAGTAGTTACTCCTTATTTAGACTATTGTTTCTCTCAGAAATACCCTATAAAATTTTGCCCGGTCCGGGAATCGAACCCGCTAAGGCAGTGCTTTTCAAATTCCACGCGAATGAAGTCGCGGGCACAGTCTAGTGTATAATATTATAGTAGGGATTATTGGGCAATAATAATATAAAATGAAACAAATAGGGAATTAAAAATACTTCTTCATTTTATCAAAACCAAAGCCTTGTCTGAACATGTATATACACAAATAAATTCATTTAAGGAACTGGTTTTCAAGTACCTAATTAAGAATCAACCAATATCGTTATAGTAGGTCACTTTGAGTAAAAATGATACTCCTTAATGAGGCTTGTTACAAAACGACGAAAATCTGTACTAGAAGCACTGACCTCTATTATTATACACGTACGCGTACTGGTGTAATAGCGGTCAGTGATTAGAAGTAAATAAAAAGATCGTCATTAGTTTTACATGGAATTAATGACACTAACACACACACACACACACACGCAGAACACATTAATGAATTACATCACCGCAATTATTTTTTAACAGATTTTTGTCGTACTTTGTAGCTAGAAGTTAATATGAAAGAACACATTCGTAAATTCTCACGTATCTCGACCACCAAAATACGTCACTAAGTTTATCATATCCTCCACATACAAAAATTGCAATATCTGTAGTTAAAACTTACCATTGAAGAAAGTATTAGATTGGTGTTAGGAGCGTAAAAGGGCAGATGGATAAGCAATGTTTCAAAAATATATTTCTTTAACTATAGTACTACAAAGTCTTTATTATGCTTTAAAAAATTAAAGCAATCATAAAAATATTTTTTTTCTAGAGCATAGTTTTGGCAGTTTTCTGTTGCACGTAAAACGCCTCAATGCTAGCAGGTAACTGCATTTAAAAACAGTTTAGCTGGTGCCATTTATCTATGGTATATGATGATCGAAGCAGAATTATTCTTAGTAGGTAAAACAAAAAACCTGTAAAGAATCAGTAACAAAAGAAATTCATTAGTTCTTGTACCATTTTTGGCCAAGAATGTGATTATATGAATGCGCGAGCCAGCACGAGGCAATCGTAATTATTTTGGTAAATAAGAGATAACAAAATAACTTTTGTCACTGACCACCTTCTACATTATCATTTCATATTATTACTTTTTTAATTTTTCTGACTCATTCAACCAAAATGTGACGGGGATTTTACATCTTTAGGTTATGTAAAAATTAATGTTGAAAGTATTTTTAGCAAGATTTCACTGTCATTAGCATGGGATTTAAAAAATAGTATAAATATGAAAGATAATAAATATCTGAAAGATACAATAATATCATTTACAGTATTCTATATTTTACACAATGGATAACATACATATATGTTTTTATATTTCAGAAACATTTATGTAACATTAAATTATTCTTTAAGAAATATGTATTATACATCTTAACATAGTGTAAGAATGTGAATGTTTTATACTGAATTTTACATAAAGTACATTCATCTTCAGTATACATTATATATGTATAGTTTTTTTTTTGAAATTTGCTATGCGAAAACACTTGTACATATAATTTTTATGTAAGTTAAAACAATTAAAGCAGTCTATTTGTTTATGTATGCTTTTTTTAACATGAAAAGATAGAAAATGTACACTAATACATACTTTTGTTAACTATTAGAGAAGTACACAAATGTCTGCAACTTATACCCACACTTATACTTTTAATAATTACAACTGATAATATGACCTAAACATACAGAACACAGTAATGCAAAGGTTAAGATGTCAAATCGAGATGCTGTAAAAATGTAGGAAAAACATTAAAAATAAAGTTGTCAAGATTCTGTTTACTGTTGGAAGCATTGATTTGTAATACATTAATAAAACATTATACAGTTTAAAATTGGTCGATGACATTTGGCCTCAAACTCATGTAGAAGTTCATCAATGTCATTATCTAAGTCGTCACTTTGAGCCATTTTGGTAACCATATCACTAATCAGAAATGCACCAATGGTTGCCTCTTCATGGTTATCTTGAATATCCATGTTTATAACATGCACTGGTTGGTTGTAAACAGATCGCCTTGAACCAAACCATTCAATCACTTGGTCATACACTCTTTCTTCACATGTTATTATAACATCAAACCTTTCAACAGATATTTGAAACTTCTCTGGACAATGCTTAATTCTTCTGTTTCTGTCTAACATGTGCAGAATACCATTTTGTGTATAATACGATTTGTCCTTCTCCAACAGGTCGTTGTAGATATCGTCATAAGGAACCCCAAATTCATAGCAATTAGGTCGATCTGCAGAAGCACCTGGTAACTTAACCTTTTCTCCTGTTCCATAAGATTTTACTTTAAAACCTTTCTTTACCAAAAACGCATGTGCCTCCATACTTCGATTCATGTTCGAAGAACACACAACCGCTATATACAAATCACACATTGTTATTACTTTCACCGATTACAAAATAATATGTCAAATTTATAGCTTTCGGCTATAGAGTTGAAAATATAACTATATCTTCCGTCATGCTAGTACTTTGTGACGATACTAAATCATTTAAATGAACGTTCACAGTGGGGTATATTTTATTGACGTAAAGTTGAACGTTTATCTCACAAATAATCGTGGTCATTAGCCAGCGTTTGCCAACGACATCAACCTAATATAATATTTGACAATAAAAAAAAGCAACGAATTGTTTTATATGTCAAAACTGTCACTAAGGTAGGGATGTACCTCTATGGGTTGTACTAATTGTCAATGGAGGGCTCATCTATCAATCAACAGTCAAATTATTTTTATTTTTTGGCTGTTTATTGAGATATAAATTACAAAACCAGAAGTGAAACAGTAACCGTGAGTAAAAATTGGATGATACATAATCTTTGTAATTATAATTAGACCCCAGACGTCCAGGGCTAGCTTGTGTAGTGGAGAAACAAAACCAAGAAAATAATACCCGTCATCCACTGTCCGACCACAATAGTATTCCTCCACAACGGGCAAGAGAGAAAATGTGGGCAGCTAAACGTCCTATCATGTCAAGTTTCATCAAACCTTCAGAAAACCTGCCACCTGAACACCGACTGAAATAGCCAACATGGAGATCATTATCGCTTATGAACGTAGGTTTATGCAAAAGCAACATGGCAAATTGGGGCAACATCGACCAGTCGCAAGCGCACTGTAAATATGGCTATTCAATGCAAACCATGCCACATCTGCTTTCTTGTCCACTGTTCCGCTCCAGGTGCACTGTAGAGGAGCTGTGGAGAGCAAAGGACATTGCTGTAGCTGTGGTGGAATTTTGGGTGGACAAAATTTAGGGATGTTCACCCGCTGATACGAAAAAGAACTATAATTAAAACGCGTATGGAATCGAGAGCATAGTTGGTGAGTAAAAAAGTATGAAATAATCAGAAAGCAACTATAAAAGACTAAGCATTTTTTAAATAATTGTGAAAAAAAACAGTATAAAGATCGTTCAAGCCAATTTGTACTAAGTAGATTTCTTTCCACACTACAAATAATTTAGACCAGGGATTCCAATCTATTTAGAGCCATCGACCCCTTTTCTAAAATGAAGCGATACCTCAGACCCCCATAGATAAATTACTGCACGCTTATCGACTTGTTAGGTTTTTAAAGAGTACAACAATGATACTTTCTACTAAACTATTAGCCATTTTTATTGTTATAACAACACAGTTTCTTGAAAGTTTCAAATAAGAACTTGTCTTAGTTAATGACTAATAGACCAAGTTTATGGGTGAACTACACTTCAGTTTCTTGATAATTTTGACATCAATTATTTAACAAGCAACATTAACTGACAGAGAAATGCATTTTGTCAATGTTTCAGTTCAGTTCAGTTTCAGGTTCAGTGTAATTGTACTCTTGAGTTAATCTATTCCTTGTCTAAGAGCTTAATAATGTCGTTTTTGTTATATTGAATTGCAATTTTGAGTGTTGATAAGATTTCATCATGAATCAGTTATTTAAGAACCTTTGTGCCATTAGTTTCAAATCTAACCTATCACACAATATTCACACTAGTTCCTCTACTTTAGCATGGTCTAAATCAGATGCACCGAAAAGATTTCTTAGACACAATAAAGTAATATATCCCCCACAATCAGCAGATGAAACACCTAGACCTGCTGTAAGTATAAATATCACCAATTTTAAGTGTCAAAACAGTAATATCAGTTTTTGTTTTTAAATAAATAGATACAGTGATCAGAATACATTTTATTAAAATAATTTTAACAAAGGCTTTATTTTTAATGCATCTTGCTCTCCGCTTAGGTAGCATGATACTGTTAACAAAAAAATGACGTTAAAATATTCATTGGTGTTGAGGTTTTCCATCAATTTTCTTTATCTTGTCTCTGAAATTTAATTTATTATATATTAATGTAGGCATCGTTCTGACAATTCTGTTGTCTTAATAAATTTACTTGTTTAATGCTAAATAAGTACTTGCTATAGAACATGTCAAAGATGTTTTCGTGTTGTTTTTTAATTAGGTAAAATAAGAAATTTGATACAAATTATATGTATTTTTAAATTTAGAGGAAATAATATCATTTCAGTTTGTATGTCATCAAAAAACTAATATAAAGTACAGTCCTGATAAGCTATGGTATATAGCTAGCTTTGTTAGAGGAATGACAGTAGATGAAGCAGTAAAACAACTTAGTTTTGTTAATAAGAAAGGGGCAATATTTGTTAAAGAAGCCATACTTGAAGCTCAAGAACTTGCTTTAAAAAACCACAATGTCGAATTCAAAAGCAACTTATGGGTCGGTAAGTTAATTACAAAAAAATATTTTTTACAACTTAATTTAATAATGTTTCAGTTCCATCACCTCTTAATATATTTTAGATCCTACTTTATAATCTAAGCTTTAATTTTAAATCGCAATAATGCTTAGGAAGGTAAATATTCATATTAGTTCTACATAAAGATATCTGAGTTATACATGTACAGAACAAATACCAATTATTGATTTATTATATCTACTTAAGTCTTATCACAAGTAGCATATAAAACTTATGGTCCAACAGATGGGATGTCATGCATGCATAACTAGCCCTGTAAAACCCAGAAAGTCAGAAATATTCTGTACAATATCAACAAATCCCTTAAGAAAGTCCTGCAGTAATAACTTAATTGATTCTTTTCTTTTCTGTGAGAATAAATTACCAGTCCGATATCCATTGTAATTCTATACTGCATAGGCTATGGCATGCCAAAAGTTATGAAGTCTTCATTGATAGCTAGATCCAACTAATAATTTATGTTTTAGATAATATTTACAGCATACTCATCACGGTTCACAGCTTCTCATACCTTGTTACTATATACTTTTATGACACACTTGCTGTAATATAACAGGTGAACATAAAATATAATGGACATGTAACTCAATATAGCTATTTTCACTTCTACATAAATAATTGACTGTCTTTAATCCACATTTTAAATAAAACTTGTTACAAGTATAGTATTTATAATGTTAATTTTGTTACAAAGCTAGTATAAAAAGCCCAGAAATAGAACAGATAATAACATTTCAAGAGAATGCTCTAGAATAAAGTACTGCACCCTTTTTAAAAGTAGTCTAAATTAATCCTAAATCTTCCAGTAAACAACCAGATAACTTACTGAAATTTCCCGTCATCAATAAGTGGCAATGATATTAATTAATTTTACTCTAGAAATAGATTAAATATTAATAATATTTACATAAAATGTATGTGAGGAATGAAATATTCGAAGAAGACTGAAGACTGCCTCAGTGGTGCAGTGGTAGTTTATGTGACTGCTGTGCTGAGGTCTCGGGTTTGATTCCCGGGTTGGACCAAATGTTTGTATGATCTGCAAATATTTGTTACGTAGTTTGGGTGTTATCTATGTACAGCCTTGGCCAAAAGTATTAGGCACCTTACATTTTACTTAAAATAAAGGAAAAAAACAACATACTTTTTGAATTTATTTATTACTATTAAAATTCACAAAAAGGAATGAAAAAAACTTAAAATCTAGTCGGTCCACCTTGGATTTAATTACTGCACTAATTCTAGCTGGCATGCTGCGTACAAGCTTAGTACAATCCTCACTTGTAATGGCATGCCATTCTTGTACTAACGCATTTTTTAATGCCGTTTTCGATGTGATACTATGCTCTTTAATCTTGCGCTTCAATATGCTTCAAAGATGTTCAAATGTGTTCAAATCTGGTGACCGCCCCTGGCCAATCAAACAAGTCAATGTTGTTTTCAGTAAACCAACGCATCGTAGTCGCTGACTTATGACCAGGTGCATTGTCTTGCTGGAATATAACTCCCTCTAAGTTGGTATCGCCGAAAATACTCGTTAGCGAAGGCATAAGCGCAGTTTCAAGCACTCTATGTACTTTCGCTGTTCATACGACCTTCGCAAACAAACATTTCGCCAACCCCATCAGTAGCCATGCAGCCCCAGATCATTATGCTTTACTGTCGGTACGACGCAATCTGGATGGTATTCTTCGCCCACACGTCGCCTCACGAATGTCACACCTGGCGTTCCAAATATATGTTGAAAAAAAATTAAAACACTTTTTTAAACTGCCTTAACTTTTATTATTTTAGTTAAATAAATAACTGTCCATGATTATTAATAACAAAATCAGTAAATTTTACTTACCTCAAAATTAGATTCGTCAGACCATACCTCATTAGCCCAATCTTCCTTAGTAAAATGTTAATGCCGTAGAGCCCATTCAAGTCGTTTTCTTTTGTTAGCTTCTGAAAGCCAGGGCTTCTTCCTGGCTTTGCATCCTTTTCAGCCTGCTACTACAAGTCTTCTTCTGGTAGTCCGAGCACTTATTGGCTTTCCAGCCTCTTCGGACAAAGTAGCAGCAAGCTCTGATGATGTTTTCTTCCGATCTTTCATAGATTCGCGTATTAATTTTCTATCCTCGCGCTTCGAAGTCACACGTTTTCTGCCTGTTCTTGGTTTATTAGCGTGACTGCCAGTCTCAGCAAACCGTTTGATAGCAGATTGCACAGCGCAACGCGAACATTTCACTAACTTAGCAATTTCTTTTTGCGACTTCCCTTGTTCATGGAAAAGTTGTATTTTTACTCGGTTTTCCAAACTAATTTCACTTCTTTTCGGCATTTTTAAATAAATTACGTGTCAATTTAATCACTATGTTAGAAATAAAGGCTTGTTTACTCGTTAGAGTCCTGAACACAAGTGACCAAACATTGACTGATAAGAACGCATAAAAACAAATCCTTTGTTTTCAGTCACCAGGTGTTTTATGACCATAACAGATAGCTGCTTGCTTTTCTAGGAAGTTATTTGTGACCCCGGCATTCCATCTAAGATAAGCATTTATTCATTGTTCAATCAGTAAACATGAATTGTGCATTTTTCTGGGGTGCCTAATACTTTTGGCGAAGGCTGTATAATATTGACGACCCGATGGCGTAGTGGTTTGTGTAACGGACTGCTATTCTATTATTATTCTCTTTATATATTATCTTTTATTTCATGAAATGTTCATATAAATTAGATTTTTAAATATATTTATGCACAAAAAATGGCATTAAAAAAAAGTGTCCCATCGGTATCCAGTACAGGCACCAAGGGTTTATTATTTTCTTAATTTTTTACTAAACTGATGTTACTACAGATAAAAAACTGAGAAGTTTGAAATGATTAATAAACTTTATTTCGATGTTTATGATTCAACTAAAATACCATTTTCCGTTTTCCTAGACTACCATACTATTATATTTTTCATCATTGTGCATTGATGTGAAGTAATTGCTCAAGTTTCATTGAATACTTTACCAATTCACTATACTCTAATTACATTTATATATGACTCCGTACTTAAATGACTGTATCTGTTTCAGCTGAATCATTTTCTGGTAAAGGAATGGTGATAAAAGGCATCAGAAGACACGCTAGAGGAAGAATGGGTGAAGTCAGATACCAATACTGTCATTACTTTGTAAGACTTGAAGAAGGGAAACCACCTACAGATTATTATAAGAGAAATCCACTAACACCACAAGAGCAACTGGAAAATTGGCTGGAACAGATGAGGAAGAGAAAGATTACAAATTCTTATTAAACTGTATATCATTTATTAAAATGGTTTAAAAATATAAAATAGCATAGATTTGATTACTGTTTAGTATTTCTTTAATGTAGTAACCTACATACCTTAATAATTATGACATTATGCTTATTAACACATTATTATTTTAATTATATCTATGTACATTATCATTAAAGCAATCATAGATATTATCTATGATAAATTTGTTACTTCTCTCGACCACATACATAATCATAACCAAAATAAATATCTCGAACAACTTTTACATACATTCTTAAATTTTATAATTTAATAGAACTTAAGTTTTTAAAAGTATACACGGTCAGCAATGAAAATGTAGGCAGATTTTAACTTGCAATATACTAATTAACAACACACCCTTGTAATATATGAGTACATAATAAAAGGTCAATAAAATTCGTTCAAACTTCAGTTCCGAGACAAATGTCATAAAAGGTATTCTAAAAAGATAAATAAATAAATATACAACGTTGTCTGTAATGTGATTATATCATATTTTGAGCGAAAGTTGAATCGGTATTCTGCTAGTCTTAGTAATACTTTACTAGAATACTTTTTACGACATTTGTGAGATCGAGAGTAGATCGGCAGTGAACAATTCTTGTAAAAAAAATCCTTCTATTTTTTTTACAAGAATTGTTCTTCAGAGCTAACTTTTGGAACACAAATTCGCTCAACACCACTACACCGTAAGCACCAAAATAGCATATATGCATGCTAATATAATAATATGCGAGTTACTACGCTGAGGGAGAGTAAATTCTATGTTGTGAATCATTCTCAAGAGAAATGATGCAGTTATCCGATATAATGATATCCTCATTGTTAGCAGCCGAATGAAGTTTATAAGACGTTAATAAATGCCAAGATATATTTAAAGAGATAGTCTGGCGAGGCAGTCATTAGTCCTCAAAGTTATTTATTTTTTTGTTAAATTTTTATACCTATATTATAAAGCTAGATAGCTTGGCTGTTCGGATTGGATTGTTGGATAGTCCTAATAGGAGGGGAACACCAATGAAAAATGTAGCAAAAACGGGTAAAATTTATTCTTCTTGAGAGACGCAGACGGAGTGTGTGTGATGTCAACTAAGTAATAATATATTTTGACGTGATTGACAGAATCAGTCATTCTGTAAGTCACGTTTAATCACACAACTGACATTATGGCTAATTTTAAAAGAATTAAGAATACTTACACGGTTGTTTGGATATTGTTGAGTGGGTTCTACTGCTGACCGTGACAGATAAATAATATATATTTAAACGAATTAAATATATACCATATGAATAAGATTTTATCTTACATGACCTATCTATCATTTGATTTGAAAAAATATATTTTGTATAAAGATTTTATAGTTATAGTCATAAATCAATACTTCATGCTTATGTTACCATTGCCAAAAAAATACCCTGATAATACTTTCGAATATTAATGGAATAAAATCACAATCACCAGTGATTAATCATATGGTTTTAAAATATGCATCACACCTGTGACTCATCTACAAATGTGAGTGATTTTATTGTGACACTAGCGCCAGCATCGAGTTTCCTTGACTTATGCTTAAATATATTATTATTGACTTACGAAAAGAATCATGATCACAGTAATTTCTTATTCTGTCGAAAAACGTCAACAAATTGGAACGAAGTTTTTTTTTCCATTTTAAATAAAGACAACTCCCGCATTAGGAATAAATCCTGTGTCGCGGGGGACTTTACAAACATACATGAAACGGACACAAAGAACACCCAGACTCAGAACAACAATTTGTGGATTACACAAAGTGTCGTCCCATGTGGGGTTTGAACCCACAACACTCGGCGTAGTAGGAAGCGGCGTGGCGACCGCTTAAACCACTACGCCATCCGTGCAGTCAAAGTTCCTTATTGCGCGTTGTGAAAGGGGGCTAGACGGAAAAAAATCTCACGAAAAGTTGTAACGACACTTTTTATCACTGTCATGTCACATCTCAGTAAAATTAAAATTAATGTTCTTAGGTTGAGCAAAAAATATTGTATTCAACATCATTTCTCAAGGAGATTTTACCAATGTATAAATTGTTTTAATAAGAAACCAACTGAAAAATATGTAGGTAATAGCCGCTTTCATAGATGGTGTTGTAATTAAAATCGTGTCGAATCAGTTTTACTCGATCGTCACAACTTCGTTCCTATCGGGTGTCCCACGACACCAGACGGCTTTTTTTTGTTTGTTATTCGGACGTTTTTATCAGTTTGCAGTTAAACGACGAATCATACCAAATAATTAATAAAAATCTAAATTTAAATTACGACCTTTCTGAGGGTTTGTCTTTGATAAAAAGCAAAATTTATTAGATTTGCTTTTTCTTTGCTTAAGTTTTGTGTGTTATGTTCTTTGCTGGGATCTTGGTATTTTTGTCTGTGACTTATGACAGTCACTATTATAATAATTGTCACAATAGTGAATAGGAGAAATCATAGGGTCTTAAACCAATTTACCATAGAAACACATGATTATGATTTTAGAGTAGCAATTATTTCCATGCCTACTGCTCGCTCACTGGTTGTGATGTTAATAATAATAATTTTACTTAGACAAGCAAACAATACTTATGGCAGTAAAGAAAATAGGGAAAACTATAGACTCTTAAAACTATGTTATAAAAATGATCATACATTTAGCTGGTTCCGTGTTTCAGGTTTCTTGGGTACATAACCATATAAAAATATTGAGCCAATTACAAATGCTGTACCAATTGTAAACTGAATAGTCAGTTTGAAATCAAATAGGTACATCGACACTATACAGGATATTACAATGGCAACAGATGTCGCGAAACCTTTCAATATATTATCTGCGTACTTCACAACAACAGCCACGATAAGGCCACCTCCTGCTTGTAATAGAACTAGATACCAAACAAAGCCATCAAAGCCTTTTAGCAAATTACTGTGAACTCCTTCATTTACTAGATATGTGATAGCTCCAAATGGTAATGAAAGTAAACTCAGCTGAACATTTCTCATCCAAACCTGAAACAGGAAAATAGATCATTTTAACTCACTAGCAGAGAATTCGTTCGCGTGGAGTTTGAAAACCCTCAGGGTCGCCGGTTACGGGTGTGCAGAGCGTGCACCGCACACGGGCGGAACTTTCAAGGGGGCGGCAAAAACAGAAATCGAAACTTTTTCATAATTTGCATGTCTAATGTATTTTATCTCATCATAGTTACATCTATTGATCGGTGTATGATAATAAATGCAAAAGTTTATAGGCTTCGAATTACTTTATTAAACTAATTTGAATCACTCAAGATGCAGGCGCTGGGTACCCAAATATCCTACACCGGGCGAAAGTTTTACCTTCGGGATATTATGGGGCGGCTTAATTCTGTCACGCTGTTATTGCGACGGTAAGACGCGTTATGGAGGATTGGCTAGATAGGAAATACGGTGCCCTCTGATACTGGTTGACGCAAAGGATGCTTCGGAGGTCACCTGTGTCTGATCCGCAAAGAGCCAACGCCCGGGCGTTGTCACTACCTTGGCCAGAAAGCCCATTGTGTATGGAGCCGAGGCATGACCTCGTGACTGATTGCGGCCATGGTACGGAGCGACTAACTCCTCCTGCAGGGCGAAGCGGAACCGGGAGGGGCTTAGAACCCTCTCCTGGCTCACCAGGCCCGGAAACGGACCAGGTAGTGCAGGCGGCTTAAGCACTGGCGGTCGCTGAATGATCTCCATCCTTCATAAGCGCCTGGCCTGGAGGTGACAGATTACACTTGGTTGCCCGGCTACTGCCCGAATTGGCGCGGCGTGCGGTGTTAGGGTCGGCGGTGACTATTGGTATTGGTTGTGGGCTCCGGTTTCCGCATTTAGACTCAAAATGGTCCTTTATGCGTCGAAGACAGGTTGGCTAGGCGAGCCAACCAAGCTCCTTCCAGAAGCGCAGAAGCTTCCTGGGGCGTTCACAGGCTTCTAGGAGCGATTTTATATCAGGAATGATATTTGCCCGTTGTGTGGCCCCTCCCTCGCATTCCAGGATTACGTGGGCGGCCGTTTCTTCTGCTTTCAGACATCCTCTGCAAAGAGGACTGACCGTCGAATTAATGGTAAATAGTTGTCGGTTCAGGGCTAAGTGTCCTGTTATGGTTCCTACAACTATTCGGATATCTAGTGTGCAAAGACTGATCAAGTAAGTCGTGGCGAAACTTTAGTGAACACCAGTTTGAACTGTCTGCAGTTTGATTTGTCTTTTTTCATCTTCAGAACTGCTAATAATACCACCAGTCAATCAGAACGACGCATTTGTAACCACGCAGACGAAACTGATTGACTGTTTCCCGCTCTTGACTCCGAGGGATATCCGAGGGGAGGGATATCCTGCGACCTATGTAGCTCGCGGGATATGGTGGCATGATAATCTGTAGAATGAAATCACATGACATGTTGAGGCGTCTCGCGGCATGCCACGACATGCCGCGGTATAATTGTATCGAAATTAAGTAATATGATTTCTAAACTCATTGAAATAAGGCTAAAAATAACTTGATCGGAAATAAAAATTGTAACCACCCCACCGGCTGTCCGGCTGTCATTAACATTAAGTCTCATTGCTTTACTGATAGAGCAGTAGGGCTAGAGGTTATTTTTTAGTTTAGTGCCGCCGTTTTTATTTTGAAGTAGCTGATTCTCGTGACTTCGTTCGCGTGAAATTTGAAAAGCGCTGCCTTAGTGGTATAGTAGGTATGGTACGGGACTGCCTCGGGTTCGTTTATGCCTAAAGATGATTTTGACTTACAAAATTATGAGTTTTGAATGTATGATGATAAATGACTGTCTGCCAAACCATTTTCAGTTAGAAGTTTATGCTATCCGTTGTTATGCGAAATAATATAATGACATAAAAAGTTCTGCTTTAAAGGGTAGACACCCATATCTGGTACCTCGCCTAACGAGACAGAGGTAATAATAGCATTTGCTAGGTTTTGTCCTCATTCCATCCGTCCAGGTACAGAAATTATCCATCCTGTGCAGAAGTTCCTGGCTCTGCTTCGGGTTACGTGTGTGGATCGAAGGTCGTCATCGAATGCTAAGATGGATTCCCTATATTTTACATTGACCTTAAACCGGTAGCCCCACCTATTTTTTATACGTTTCAATATCTATTAATATAATAAGGAACTTCGTTCCAATAATAACTGTATTAAATACTACTGGTGATAAACAGCAACCTTGGAATAAACTTAGGATAAATGGATAAACAAAATTTATTTGCGTAAGAACACTTGCTTACTTACTCAAAAAAATATTGCCATAATTATGAAGAATTTCTTAAACGCGCTCTGTTTACTCGATTATCGACTCTTTCATAGCCTTATGCCACAAAAGAAGGTGATAAGAAACAATTGGGATGCAACGTGTAGTCACGTCGCTCATCGCTAGTGTGTAAAACATTCTTCTCTTCATGATGTTTTGTGGAAGAATGTATCCATCCATGTTCATTTTTAACAAAGATAGCTCAAAATGGAGAAATGTAGAACACAACCAACAGTAGGTATTGTTAATTTCCGAAGGTCATGTGTGTCTTTAGATGCTAGCTAAAGACACAGGAGAAGTTAGCTAGATGCTTCTACGTCAAGAATAATTCTATGTGGTATTAGCACAGGAGGTCTTCGGGATTTAGTAAAGAGACAGTGGTCGATGGGTGTACTAGCTCTCTGGGCTCTCTAATACCGTGAGGTAGAATAACCTAGGTATATATATGAGTAGTCTATGTTTTAGTTGCGCTTGGAGGCAGTTTATACAATCTGATAAACAGACATCGTACGCAAATATACTTATTATTTATTTACTTTCACTGATAAGGCTCGCGCACAGATTCTCTTTGATATTGAAGAAAATCTGTGGAACTAAACATTTTAATGCCTTACAAATAATATACCTACCTATATTATTTCGCTGGCACTGCAACTTAAAAAAAATTATGCGGCCTCAATAACTTATCTTAGGAAGGTTCAAATTCAACATTGCGATAAGCATTTCCAGGAAGTTACAGGAAGTGTTTATTGGCAATATTTCAGCTCTTTATTAAACAGTAAAACTTGTTACCGTTAAAAAATATCCCTTTGCGAGTATAGTAAAGGTTTTAAACGAATTGTGAAAATTTTTAAATGCATCTATTTCGTAACTCCAGCAGCCCAATAGGAAAATCGTACTAAAACTGAGCTCCTAAAGCCACATCTCGTAATTACTGGCTCTATGCATAAATTCGATCTAAATTTGTTATTAATTCAATGTTGATACACCACGACTTGTTTACTTCATTTATTTTCACAGCGTAATGTCGTACGGTACTGTGGGGAAATACTGCCGACATTCAAACTCTTTTTGTACTGCAAAAGAGAGCGATTCGATCAGAAATTTTAATAAATAAACATAATGACAGTGGCAAGTCATTACTTATTTCAAACAAGGATAGCTTTTGGAAATAAAGTGATGTACATTCTATAAATACCAAAAATAGAAATAAACTTGTAGTACCTTACTAAAATCACACTATGTGTCACTATGCGCCTTTTTTTTTTTTTCCGTGCGGAAATCCCCTCGGATACCACCTGTCGGTGGCATGTCGGATTCGAACCGACTAAAACCGCACGCCGTCTCGGGTACTAATAGCTGGGGAACCAGGTATACCCTAGAAAGGAAGTCCCTGGTGCCCCGACATACCTCGGGTCATCTACAGACGAGTAGACGACCCCCCCCGTGTGGGAACCCCATGTTCCCTGTGCTCCCTGGAAGCGAGCGCGCTTCGCAACGCGCTCGCCGCCACCCCGGCCTGCTTCTGCTAGGGTGACAGATGGCCTCACCTGTCACCCCCAGGCCTGCGCTTATGGAGGACGGAGGTCCGGCGCCTGAGTCGCCTGCGGTACCTGGCCCGTTCCCGGGCCTGGCGGGCCGGGAGAGTCCTAAACCTCTCCCGGTCCCGCTCCGCCGTCTCCTTCGCGAGCATAACTTGCTCGCAGAAGGAGCCGGCAGAGTTCCACGCACTCTCGCTCCGCACGATAGCCGCAATCAGGCTATCGAGCGAGAGAACTCCCACTCCGATGGCCGCCACGAGGTCTCGCCTCTGCTCAACCCACGCCGGGCACTCTGCCAGCGTGTGGAGAGCCGTGTCCACGGTCTGGCCATCGCAGTGGTGGCACTCAGGCGTTGGCTCCTTGCGGATCAGACACAGGTGATCCCCGAAACATCCCTTCCCAGTGATCACCTGCGTCAATCGGTATGAGAGGGTCCCGTGACGCCTCTCGAGCCAATCCTCCATAACGGGTCTTACCGCCGCGATGACGGCGTGCCCGGCGCTCGGTTGCCCGAGTCGTTCCCTCCACTCCCCTATGATGACCTGGCGGAGTTGGGATTTCCGGTCATCGATTTCTTGAATCTCGGGGCATCGACCCAACTCCCGCGCCTCCTTGCGCCACTGATACAGAGCCGCAAGGGCTCTCGCCTCCAGGTCCCACGGTGGAGTTCCGGCCAGGAGACTCGCCGCCTCAAAGGAGATCGTGCCCCCTTATGATCCTGATGGCTAGCACTCGCTGCGGTCGTCGCAGTGTCGCGACGTTGCTGGCCTTCAGGGCCCCCACCCATACTGGGCACACGTAAAGGGCCATGGACCGCACAACCCTCGAGTAGAGTCTCCTGCAGGAGTCATCGGGTCCCTTCATGTTGGGCAGCAGCCGCGCCAACGCACGCGCTGCCCCAACCAACTTGGGGACCAGACCTCGGAAATGATATCCGAAGTCCCATCGGCCATCGAGTACGAGCCCCAGATACCTGATCGAGGGCTCGATGCCGATGCGAGTGCCTCCTACCGTGAGGCTAGATCCCTCAGGCGGCTTCCTCCGAAGCCCGTGGAAGAACAGGGCCTCGGACTTAAGCAGAGCCACCTCGAAACCCAGCCGCCGGATACGCTCAACGACTTGGGCAACCCCGGCCGTGGCCCTCAGGGTAGCCTCGTGGTGCGTCTTGCCGCG